AAGAGTGTAGGGAGGAGTGTATGAGGAACTGCTCTTGCTTGGGATATGGAGTTGCGGATGTGAGGAATGGAGGAAGTGGGTGTATGAGGTGGCATGGAAGTTTGATGGACATCAAGCAGTTTATACGAGGGGGACAAGATTTGTATGTCCGTGTGGACTCAATTGAATTAGGTACCTTTTTGTTTTGGACACTTATTGTTGTGCTGTTCCTTTACTAGCGGCGAAGGTTATTTTTAGTTTTAATTTCAATTTTAATTTTATTTTTAACAGCTAACTATGAGAATTCGGATGGGCTCTCGACAAAATGGATAGTGGCGATTGTAGTACTGGCAATTGCTGCTACTTTACTCATCGTTGGCTCTGTTTTGTACTGGTTAAAGAGAATGAAGGGAAAAGGTATGTTTAATTTTGTAGTATTGTTGCGGACTTAGTTTACTGTAATAGCTTTTGAGCTTTTTCTCCCATAGAATTCTGTTTAGTGGCGAAAATAGCATGATCAACCTTTAAATTGTACTGTTATAATTCACTTTCACTCAATGGGATTGAATATAATCTGAGGAAATTAATAGGAAATATAGTCGGTCAATGACATAAGTGAGTTTGTAATTACTTGAGAAGTTAACAACCAACATTTGTTACTATACCGTTGAGGTCAGGAAGACATGTCCTCGGACAAACAGCAACATCGCGCAATGATGTTTCGGCAGGTTCGACTGGATTTGAAGATTCTCCAAGTAAAACTGGTGGAGAGAAAACAGATGTACGTTTCCTTGACTTGAGCACTGTTGTGGCGGCAACGGACAATTTTTCGTCCGCAAATAAGCTAGGGCAAGGTGGCTTTGGCTCAGTGTACAAGGTATTTTTTCCCGACATAATTTGCAGATCGAAACATGGAGCTGAAGTAATCATAACGTACTTTTCCTGTGAACCATAATTTCAGGGTGTTCTAGCTGATGGACAGGAGCTAGCCGTAAAAAGGTTGTCACAATTTTCAGGGCAAGGTGTAGAAGAATTTAAGAATGAAGTTCTTCTGATTGCGAAACTTCAGCATAGAAATCTTGTGAGGCTTCTTGGTTGCTGCATTAACAGAGAAGAGAAGATGCTTATGTACGAATACATGCCAAACAAAAGCTTGGACTTGTTATTGTTTGGTATGCCATCTCCTCTATCACTACAAAACTCTTTCAACTTCATAAAGAATGCTCTATCCATGGAATTTCTATTGGGATTTTTTTTGCTATCTACTAGTAAATTTGTAGCAGGGATGCTCGGTATATACATGTCAATGTTCGTTTCAGCCGCGTGTAGTTTGACAGAGGCTTTCATGTTTTGATGTAGACAAAAACAAAAAGTCATTGTTGGATTGGAGAAAGCGTTCTCAAATTATTTTCGGGATTGCTCGAGGACTCTTGTATCTGCATCATGATTCAAGACTAAAGATCATCCACAGGGACCTGAAAGCAAGCAATGTTCTACTTGATGCCACAATGAACCCCAAAATTTCAGACTTCGGTATGGCTAGAATGTTTGGAGATGACCAAATAGAAGCAAACACGAACAAAGTGGTTGGAACATAGTAAGTATTTTTTTCACCTCAACCCTCAAATAGCATTATAAAAAAACACTTGTATACACTATTAAAACAAAAAATCATTATTCCTTGTTATGCTTTTGCAGCGGTTACATGTCGCCAGAGTATGCAATGGAAGGGTTATATTCAATGAAGTCCGATATCTTTAGCTTTGGAGTTCTGACCTTAGAAATCATTACGGGCAAGAAAAACAGCAACTTCAATGAGGTTTCGTCTCTTAATTTGGTTGGACAAGTAAGCGGCTAGATAATCATCTGCTCAAATCTTTCCCT